CTTACTCCAAACTTCCCACAACAGATAAAACTTTCAAGTGATATCTAGCTTGCCTTCCCCCCTCCCCCCTTTGTTTCACTCCATTAGCATATATGTCTGAAGACGCATATTTTCCTAAGCCAAGGAAAACCAAACATTTAGTAGAGAATTTGGGTATGCTGCGTTAACTATCCCTAGAAAAATATCTTATGGATATGATCACAATGTCCAATAGGGGACTGCTCTAAGGGGTGAAAAGCCCTATTTTTTTATCAAACCACGTTAATAATGTATTACTTACCTTAGGTTCCAGCTGCAGATACGCTTGTTAGCTTGCCCTTCTTCAGAAAAAAGGACAGATTAAACTGAACTGTTCTTAATGCTCTTTTTAATACTTTTCTGAGGATCAGTTTGACTGGAAGTTGTGTAAAAGAAGGGCTTGGCAGGTTGCCTGGGAGAGCCACACCCAGTCAGTTTCAAGTCATTTTCTGTTGGGGCAGGTTCAGTCTACAGAGCAAGAAGGTGCAAGTTTGATGAAAAACAGATGTTGCTGTAATTTACTGTTTTCTTCTGGATAGCTGATGGAATGACAGCTGTCACTCTGTCATGTCATTATGACGTCAAAATAAAGACATTTATGTTTTTTAAACATGTAAAGATTTTTTTTTCTACTTTACTCCTTTAATGAACTGCTTCAGAAAGGTATAAGCAAGTGGCAATTTGAAACATAAGCAATGAAACAACGCGAAGACTAAGTAGTGAAAGACTGTTTATATGATCAAATCTCCAAGTCTGGAAACATTAAAACTGACAATATGTAGTACATACAGAAAACTTTATAATAATGACAACTGTAAAAATAGCGTCCTGTACTTTGGAATAATTTTTAACCGCTGTCACTCAAAAAGGCAGGATACACTATGGTATCACTAGACATTGTAACTTTATAAATCTTTATGGAATTGCAATCATAATAAATTGTAATACAGTATAAGATTGTGTTATACGGAAAGTTATTTCATCATCACTTGGAACACATAACATTGACAAAAAGTCCCACACAATCAACTGACAGTTAGCGAAGTGCGTTGCACTAGCTGCTGCTCTCAGCTAGAAGACATTTTCAGGTTTTGCTTAATATGGTATCTTTTCCAACTAATTCAGGGGTCTACGTTCAGGGATTGTTCTTGGATGGAGCACGCTGGAACAGGCAAACTAAGAAGCTAGGAGAATCTCATCCAAAAATCCTCTATGATACAGTACCTGTGGTCAGTATCTTTAGTTTGGTGACATTTTATAGTATTGTATACCAACAAATACTGTAGAATTAATATTCTTAAGTTCTAGTCTTGAAGAAACAGGGTAATTCTTAAAAAAAAAAAAAAAATTGAATTGAAATGCTTTGTGTTGAAATAGAAATTAAATGTCTGAGAGGAGCTAAGAATCCTTTGCTAATAATGACAGTGACAGGAAGAGTTTGGTGTTGCATATTTTGGGCCAGGAAGCAATCTGATGAGAAAGAGGAAACAAGAAACAGGTTTTCAGGGCTATCTGTTAAAAAGCAAACAAAACCCCAACAATGTCAAAATACTTCAGCCAAGCCAAGACTGTTTCCCTACTTCTTATTTTAACTGAGATGAAAAGGATTATTTTATTCTTTACTGCAGATATGGCTAAAGCCGTGTAAGAGAGCAGACATTCCACAGCGACCAAGTTACCTGGCCCCAGTGTACAAGACCAGCGAGAGAAGAGGGATCCTGTCAACTACAGGCCATTCCACCAACTTTGTCATCGCAATGACTCTCCCTTCAGACAAACCACAAGAACATTGGATCAGACGGGGTGTGGCGTTATTATGTCAGCTTAACTCATAAACCTATCACAATTTACGGAGGTAGGTGCATTTTCCAGATCACTTATAAGGGACGTGCGCCAGTCCTAAGTGCCACATAAAAAGAGAAATCAAAATGAGTTTGTTTACAATGTTGCGTTTGTGCCTTTCATGAGATTTGAAACAAAGTACTAAAATACAAAGGTGCACAATAAAGCCTTATAAAAGCCAACGAAAATATCTGCTCCTTGAATAATTTTATTTTCTGAAGGCTCCTTATTTATAAGGAACATACATAAAATGAACACAACACTGTTGACAATGAACAAAACAGCATTTGATCATTTCCAGCTTTATAAAATTTTAAAAAATGATTTAGTTATAACAAAAAGACTGATAGCTCAGCAAGTTATCTTATAGGACCATAATCACATTTTAAAACAGACTCAATTGTTAATGGGAGGGGAAAGAAAAAAAAATTTAAAAAAATCACACTGCATCTAGCAACTACAATATTTTCTAAGCATAATCACAGCGAATTGAGTGCAATGTGATCTACATCAAAATTCATATGGGATGTCACACAGTGACAGCATTGTAATATACAAGTAACATTTACGCCCTCCAACAAATACAAGTTAAATGAGACTCTGGATTCAAGCAGAATGGAATGTTGAAGCCAAGTAGAAATGTAGTGGAATTCAGATTGTCTGTAACATGACTCAAAAGCGTACATTAGAATCATTTGGAATTCAATACTGGTGGAAACATACAGAAGAAGTCACAGCTGTTACACTGTTCTTCGCAACTTGTAATAAATACTAGAAAATAAAAGGAAACAACCCATATTTAATGAAAAATACAGTACCTACCTTCAAGGACCATGTTTTTCCCTTGTCTGAAGATGGTCTTGGAAGGAAGTTAACTATTTTCCTATAGAGGCAGTGTGTTAAGCTATAACCATATTCCAACTAATACAAAAGTAAATATACTACCTGAAATATAGAAATCTTCATTTGAAAAGAATTAAAAGAAATAAACTTTAAAAAAATGATTTGACAAAGTATCAGTTCAACCACATAATGACCCCCTTAATTCTATCGAGTACAACAGAAAAGGAAAATTAAGGGTCAGTTTAATACATCAGAAACATAGGTTGTTTAAACTTAGATCCTCAGAAGGTATCCAGTGAGTTAAGTCTCTTTGAAAATGGTACTCAGTGACCTAACGTGGGCACTATGAAAAAATGTCAGGGTCTTTACACTGCAGAAATTCAGTAATCTGAAGCTAACAACAGTGTGCTAATTAGGGTCCAACAGTAAACATGTTTAAAGAAGAAAAAAGAAAACCTGAGTTCAGAGCATCAAACGGCTGCATGCCCGAACTCTGGGCTTTTGGCTTCTTCACTGAAGAAACTGCGCCCTTCTTTGAAATGGACCCTTAATACTGTTTCTTGATACTGCATTAGGAAGAAATACTGGCAAGAACCAACCGGTATCTTCTAAATACACGAGCTGCTCTCAGTAAAAACTGAATTGACCAATGAAGCTTCAAAAAGTAAAGGGCCACAGGAAACACATTAATTTGAAATGGAATGAAGATGATACCAACTGGCTCTCATTAAAGGCGTTAGGATCAGTGTTTTTAGCAGCTACACTGGCACCAAGCAGACCGAAACAAAACTTACGGCACATAGTCAAAATACAGCTTTTACCTGGCATACACATAAAAGAAGACAAACTGTATGTTTTAGAAAAGGCTACTACCATGCTTAGGACTAGTACTACAGAATCAACTTGCACTCCTCACAAACTCACAATTTTTTTAAGGAGATGGGTACAAGAAGAACTAACTCATGTCTGGCAATATAAGCATATCAGCACAATCCGATCTGGGACAGCTGATCCCAGCAAGTTAAGGCCCAAATTTTCCGTCTATCCTTCCAAATTACACATACCACGCATCTATCACATCTGCTTTTTAATAATCTAATTTAAATACCAAAATTGTAAAAAAATATCATAGAAATGAACTCCTTTATGCTGGAAGTAGAAATCTTCTTACATATTCTCTACTGCCAGAAATGGCTGGCGCTACAATGTCTGATATCAAGGCATTGTAGAAACAGATTTTGATCTGGTATTACAGTATTTGTAAATAACCTACCAGCACTACATACACAGAGCATAATTTAACCTTTGTGCCCAGGTTCAGTAACTAGCATCTTGCACTTTGGATTGTTTTAACATGAAGAGGAGAAAACATTCCAAAATTATTGTTAAAAAAATGGAGAAATTCCCATATAGATTCTCTGTTAAAAGAGTTTGCACAAATTCACAGCCACAATTCTTCAGTAGTTTATGCTGCAAGTGGGACACAATACATGTTTAGCATCTGTAAAAAAGAACCAGAAATAGCTCAATAACTCCAACACCAGGGATTTCCCCAAGCTAACACTAATTCTACTGCATTTTGCATTTTCCTACTAATATCAAGGAACAAACATCAAATAAATCTTAGTCAGGAAAACATCGTCAAACTGATCCTCGACAGAACATAGCACTTTGCAGCGTATATTGCAACAGCCTGCCTTCTTACACATGGAAGTTTATAACGATGGAGTGCAGCTTAACACATACTCTAAGAATTTAAACAGTGTTCAGGTTTTGGGTTTCTTTTTTAAAATTTAAACCAGCACAGTGGTTTCCAGTCATGTGCTGTTGTAAGATTTAATACTTCAAGTCACCACTATGCAGAAGAATCAGCACAGAATGAATATATATATACACACACACGCACATATATATATATATGCATGCACATCTATCTATCTATATATATCTATACATATATATAGATATAGAGAGATATATATATATATACGCGCTACTTAAGACTTACGTGGCACTAAAAGCTTACTCAGGTTCCTTGCAGAGGTATGAATTTCAGCTGTAACATTTTCTGGGTTCTGTTCAAATGTACTAATGAAATGGTATTCTCCCGAATGAGTAGATCATTCACTGTACTTGTTCTTTCTTAAGCAAGCAGTGCTTCCTACATATATATATATATATATATATATATATATATATATATATATATATATATGCATGCACATCTATCTATCTATATATATCTATACATATATATAGATATAGAGAGATATATATATATATACGCGCTACTTAAGACTTACGTGGCACTAAAAGCTTACTCAGGTTCCTTGCAGAGGTATGAATTTCAGCTGTAACATTTTCTGGGTTCTGTTCAAATGTACTAATGAAATGGTATTCTCCCGAATGAGTAGATCATTCACTGTACTTGTTCTTTCTTAAGCAAGCAGTGCTTCCTACATAGTACACCGAACTTGGCATTTATGTCTCGTATTTAGTATTTCCTAATTGTCCATCACTTGAATTTAGAAGATGCATTGAGTAATCTCATCTGACTTGAATTAGAAAAAAAGCAGAAGTTAATCTACACAGAAATGAATATACTGTACGTGTGTAAGTAGTGCAAGCCACTGCTTTTTCTCTGAGCAATGTGCATACAGTGAAACAGTGCAGACTCAAAGCCATACAGTAACATTACTGTAACCACAGTGATTACCAGAATTAGGTCAAAACTGGATGTCAAGCACAATTTTATCTTCATAGAGGGCAATCACCAGCATGATGGCAAATCCAAGAAGCAGGCCTAGATTCTGAAGAATGAACTGCCCCACAGGACAATAACCATGCTCTTCATTATCTCCATCTCCATGAAGCATTTCTGGAAGCTAAAAGGAAAAACAATTTAGAAAGTTATTTCACCTCTATTCCGTTTATACACGGACAAGTTTACAAGATGATATTGTCAAGAATAAACACTCCAGGATTCAGTTATAAAAACAATACACTAAGACAACTAAAACTCTACCTAACCACTACATTTGATAAAAACATGATCACATCACATATTTACAAAACAAACTAAGAATGCCTTTCCTTTCGACTTTTTTTTTTCTTCAGCTTTTACTGGATCATACATCTACTTGAAGTTCCTCAAGATAAGAACCAGCCCAGCATTCTTCGAGTTCCGCTCTTTCGAGTTCTTTCACTCAATTAAAATTAAATCATGCTCAGATAAACATAATGAAAAGCTTTGACTATTGCTACAGTAATTACATTGCTATAAATATACCCTTTATAATGACTTTGCTGATTAACTTAGTCATTCGTCATGTTATATGCTTACACATATTCACATACATTTCCCTTTTAAATATGGGAATAATAGCTACAAGTAATTCGGAGAAATTCTATGTGAAGCTATAAAAAATTCTATAAGCTCTGGATATGCCTTATATTCCTCACCTGTGAAGAAAAGTCAAATAGTACTGACAAAAGCAACAAATAACAGTGGACTTGGAAGATGTAAAAATAAATCTTATGAAGTGTCTTACAAAGCCACCCATACAGAAGAGAAATAAAATGTTTTACAAAGAAATTAATTCAAGAAAGCATGAGGTAAATGAAGGAATTCCTTCAAGACACACTTAGTACAGAAAAACATAACACAGAACAAAATGGAAACTTCAGACAGTACACAGCACAAATCTCTATTTATTGCTTTTCATTAGATAGGCTAGAATAGTTCTGGTTATTTCAAATACCTGAATATTGCACTACAGACAAGGACAAATTATCAGCATCAAATCTGCTAAAAAACCCAAATATATTACCCATCTGGTCTTTTATTACTGTATTTCAAAAAGATACATAAAGATAACAATTAATTTGACCCACTGAGTATTTAAATATAAAAAATATACTGGTGTGAAAAATGTTTGTCACCTATGCAATAGACCAGGCAGCCTAACAACAAGCACTACACCAAATTACAAAGTACCGTTAAGTCATTAAGAATAAATGGCATCTGTTTCAAAACTAGGAAGAGCACAGTGCTCTGTCTCCGTAACTTCCAAGGTTTCCGCTCACGGACATGAAAAAGGGAGAGTATCATGAGTAGAAGTCTTAGCTATGGATAGTGACAGCTGTCATGTATCACCAAAACTGTGGAACTGAACAGCAAGTAAAAGACCCCTTTAAGATAGAGAGGAAAAAAAAAAGGTTATTTAACGGTAACCAGTACGATGGGCACACTCCCCACCGTCTTCAAAATACTTATTTTTTACTGTCGCCATATCTGAAGAGGCATGCTCATGCTCCTCTTTCTTGTACTCAGAGCCTGAGTATGCAGGCAGAGGAGGCCAGTGCCACTGTGCTCTCCCTCAGCTGCACAATCCCAGCGTAGAAAGGGTCCTGGAAAGACTCCAAGAGGGAAGGAGGAAGGTGGAAGGAGGCTGTTCACTGCAAGAACTTGTTACTGGCTAAAAACCCTCCTTCCATCTTTGAGATACAGTCCACACATATATTAGTACTGCAGGAACCTCTTGCATATTCACATTTACCTGGAGGCAAATCTCCTTGAAGTACCTCATTTGAATAGGTATTGCCCAGCTGCTCTACACAGTACTGCTTCAACTCTGATGTCTCTGCAATGGTGCAGTAGCTAACGGAGGTATAAAGAGAACTTCAGATAGCAGCTTGGCAGGCATGAAGAAGAAATTTTTCAGGGAAGCCACAGATGGTTTTTGAGATCTGGTGGAACATGCTCTGGATGAAAAAAAAGGCTTCACCTTAGCATTACTATAATGGGCTTTAACACTGCCAGTTATCTACTTTGACAGCATGTCTAAAGACTACTAAACTGTTTGCTTTATTTGCTATTGATGTGACCAATTTCAGGGACCATATAAAGAATCTGGTCCTGTCAACAGAAAAAAAAACTCAACACCCTGTTGAAGTTGAAAGCTTACAGTTTCAGCCCTAGAGATATAAGGAATGAAAAATATAACAGATGAATTTATTTTCCAGTAAGATATAATTCAAGTTGGACTGGGAAGGTATATAGGAAAATTCAGTGTACCCATTCAAACCAAAACAGCAGTGTCAGGAAGGAGGATATTATGGTTATTCTTCTGATAGTTATCAATGAATGAAATGTCATGAGAATCATGGAAAGCCCGGAGGATTTAGAGAGGCCTGAGTTTAGGTTCTACTGGAGAAAAGTATCCTTACCATTAGAAAACATGTAAGTAGACAAACTTCAGGACAATTGGATGCAAAAATACCAAAAGGTTGGTTCTCAATGGGCTGGTGTAAGGAATGGATAGAAAACTGCCTTTATGTGAACCTCTGTCAAGCTAGGGAGGGATCAAAATCTGTTCTTATTAAGCGTCAGATAAGAAGAAAATAAGGCCTTTAAGAGGGAGGCAGATTATGGAAACATCAAGACAAAAAACTGATGCAGTTTCAAGCGTGTCTTGCAGAACCCTTCCTGCTGTTGTTTAGTCAGACCATTGGGCTTTGACTTTGGTTGCGACTACGATGACTGAGGAAAAGGACAAGGAATGAAAGAATGAAAATACTGCTTTCCTTTATACGCAATGTCTTCAGTCAAAAGAAGGACAGGAAATAAATACCACCAGCCACAGGACTTATAAGCAAGTGATATTTCAGTAATTATAGGCTACTGTAGAACATCTGAAGTTGCATGAAGGATCACTCTCAACTACACCGACACTCTATTTAGCAAGCCCTGAAAAGAACTTACTTAACCTACAGATATAATGGAGTATATTTACAGATTAAAGTTCTCTGTAACAAAGTGAAATATCCCATGGTGCGATGGCCAACACTTGCCTTCCATGAGTCCTAGTCATAAGAGACCTAATGGCAAGCAGGACTGAAGGTCACAGGAGCAGCCTCCGCCACTGTGTCCTGCCTTGACCCGTGCTCAAGCCCCCATTTGATGACTACCAATGCGACTAACATGGGATCTTCAGAACCAAAGCTGAGTTTAAGAGAAAGTTCTCAGATGTGGAGGATGCCACCCAGAAGCAAGCTGGAAGCCCCACTGACACTAAGTTTCTTAAGCACCAATGTGGCAGTAGTGTTGAACACAGAAGTAACTGCAGAGGCAAATTTGCTAGAGGGCAGAATGGCCAAGACAGCTTCTGCTGATACCAGGAAATTCAGCAGAAACTGAACCCTTGCTTTCGGTGGTCTTCCTAGTGCTTCAATGATACCACTGAGGCTGAGAAACCAGCCGCAGCAGCCGCAGCTAGGAACTGGCAACTACTGGCCACAGCAGCAAAGGGGAGAGGGATCTTTATAACGTCAGCTGCTTTAGTTAGCACCAGGGAAATAATACAGTCAGCCCACACCAGAGCAGACATCCACCAGCCTCATAGACAGTGATCTGACAAAGATGTGATAGTGTTTTAATGAGAACTGCTGAAACCTGAAGTCTGTGTCTGTGGCTTAAAGTAACTGACAGATGCCCGCCTGCTTTGACAAGTCAGCCAGTGAGAGTCAAGTATCACATGTTTCATTCCTGCACCAGTTAACTTTTGAGGAAGCTGCTAAAAAATGCGGTTTGAAAACAGGATAGTCAGCACAAATGTATGCAGGAGAGCAGAACTAGCAGTGTAGGCTAACAGGGCTACCAGATACGGTAACAAAATCTCTGAAGAAATTTGGAAAGTTGAAGAAAATGCATGGTTTAAAATACTTCAGAACAGTAAAATGTTCCATTTTACCCACAACTGAAAACTGAAACAGGCTGGTCCTCATTCCAGTAAACCCAACCCTCTACAGAGATGCTATGAGGTTAAACAAAATCTCTACTGGAACATCACTCAAAGCCAGAACTCCAGTTACATTTAAGTATTTTTCTATAAGCAGCATGTAGCCACACCAGGCGATCCAAGTAGCAATCTACTGAGAATAGGTAGATGGCTACTTAGTCTATTTCAGGAGAAAATTAAGAGCTGTGAAGAAACTTGCCTCTGCTTTAGATGTCCGTGCTAGGAAAGAGTAGTTTGTGAACGAAGCAATGGAAGTCCAGGGAGCCATTCCACTAAAAGCTGTCTGAACCCTTGTGAATTAAAGCTTTAACTAGGTTGGAGTTTCTAGTTTAATTGGTTAATAATTTAATACAATACGAGATCTGTCCTTAAAATCCAGGGAAGCGACGCATCTTTTTCTCCATATATTAAAGCAGAAAGAGCATTACAAAATACCCCAAACGTGAAAACTGATCTCATCATCACTGGCCTTGGGAAAGACAAGAAGTGAGAAAATTGGCTTATTTAAATGCAGCTTTGAAGCTGCTTAGGAGAGAAACCAGGATTGAATATGGACTGATACCATGTGCACACATGCATTACTGCCTGAAGGATCTGGATCTACCATGTACCCACACTAAATATAATGTACCTATAGCTAAGTCCTTGAAGCAGCAGCATTCTTCCACCAGGTAATTTTTTAAAAAGCTAATCACTACAAGAGGTGTGTATTACCAGCTGTTCATGCTAAGGGTTCAGACTAAGCTTTCCAGAATCAAATATATGATGATTAAATTTTAGTGAAGAACAATTCTAAATACTGGATTGAACTCCAGCATCTAATGCCCCATCCACAAAACAGAGAATCATCCTATTTTTATTAGTGGGAAGTGTGAGTGTCTTTCCCAGCCCCCCTGTAGTTTTTGTATTTTAACAGGAGTCGCTGGCAGACTTTGGTAGCAGAAACCCAAACAAGCAAGCAACTGTAAAACTTCACTACAACTCTCAAAGTATCTGCAACATTTTAAAAAAATCACAGAACAGAAACAGCCATCTACTGTCTACAGACAGTATTATAATATTAATAATATTATATAATATCAATAATATAACAATATTATTATACTATTATATATAATAATGATGTAATAAAATATCTGTAGATATTATTATATGTGTTGTAACAAAAAAGTTCTGTCGTAGGTGCCATTTCAAGTCCTAGGTTTTATGCATGGAATGCAAAAACGACACAGAATCATAACAATCTTACCATGTCAACCAATGCCACATAGAGGAACATGCCTGCAGTGATTGCAAAGATCCACAAGGTGATGTTATTAGCATACTGTCCCACCGCTGTGCCTATCAGCATCCCTATGTAAGCCATCATGGCAGACAGGAGGTTGTACACAATAGCTTGCTTTACTGTCATACCTGCTTTAAGAAGCACAGCAAAGTCACCTAAAATGGAGACAGAACACAGGGGTTTAGTATCAGTGCTTCTCAGGAGAGTACGTAGATAAATTAGCCTGCATTTACTATCTCACTGATCCAAGGCATTGCCAAAGTAAAAATGCTGTTACAGAGGCTCAAAGGAAGACTGGGCAACAGGATATGACAACTCTTGTAAGAACAGTATTTGTGTGGCAATCCCTTGATTAAAATATGATTTAAAGGTGCCTATTCATCACGCTGATTATCGCAAAGGTAATAGCGATTAATGGTTAAAGGTAAATGGAGGAGTCTAGATCTGGTCCTCCCACAGAGAATACATCTGTGCATACAGACTTGCCTTTGCTTCACGAAGTTCTTCATGGCACATAAAAACAGAGGCTTAGTTTTGATCAATACCTGTGAAAATTCCTCCTAGCTATATACACCTCATTCTGCAAATTCAAGAGGAGGATAACGAGGCATTAGTCCCCACAGAAGGTGACAATGAATTTGAGAAATATAGTACTAGGAAAAGGAAGAGTTACATTCAGAAAGAATGACTTCACATCCATGCTAAATCAGTTTGCTGGTTTAAGACAGGCCAGGTTAACCTGGTTTAGTTCGAATTCAGGACAGCTCTGCTAAAATTGCTGATAGAGGTAGATGTTCTATAAAGATCTAAATTTTCGTCTTGTGATCAGCTCTGATAGTTTTATTCCCTTCAAACTGAACTCTTGTGAACATGAGGAGTGAAAGATGAAATGCAGTCGTGAGGGTAATTAATATCCTCATGTCAGATATGCTAGAAATTAATCGCTCAATCTAGAATCAAAACCTAGAATCAAAATAAAAAATATGTACAGTGAACTACTCACTTCTTAAACAAGATTAATTTAATCACGTTAACCTAGCAAGTTATAAGCACACCAATATATATTGCAATCCTTTATTTACTGCAGCAGCTTCACTTAACTAACGATCGTATAGCACCATTGTCAAACCATGAATATCTGCTCTATTATTTCCCATCTGTGCCCATTACTTACCTTATATTTAGTATCTGCCTGTATAAAATGCTTTCACTCATCACCTCTAAGGGTTTTTGAAGTACTTGTTTTACCTTACTTTTGATCATTCAGAGCTAGCAGCTCATCAAGTAAGCAAGCTGTGAGTACGTACACAGTTTAATCTAGCACAATTTCACGTTACTGGCAAAAAAGATGACTCCTCCTCTCTCTAGCTGCTCTTCTTTAAGTCTCAGGGTGCACTAAAATTTCATGCAACGTGCCTTATGGCTCACAGGAAAACAACAGGTTTCCTCATGGTTAGCTAACCCCAAGAAGAAACGCCTCAACTGGGGGGAAGAATCAATGGCACTGGCAACAATGCCTACAGGCTTTACCCTAAATAGTCATCCACACCTACTGGACTCAGCAACAATCGGTACAAAGCATCTTCTGAAGATCTCCACAAAGAATTCTACTTACGTAAACTTAGGTTTACTTATGTAACTTTACTTAACTTTGTGTACAACATCACCACACAGGTAGTGTGAAACTCTCTATAAAATGCAGAGGTATAACACCAAAATGTAAACCGTATGCTCCTACGAACATCTTTAAAACACGTTCAAAAAGCTTACAGAACTGCTGTAACTAGATACCCGCCACAATAATCCTGTATTAATATTCTCATTATGTACTCTGAAACAATATTGCTCCATTACTCTCTGAAGTTCTGGTCACCCTTGCAGCATCTCCATTGCATCATGCTTATCAGGATGAGTATCACAACAGCTTTCAGATACGTATTTTGTACAGATGAAGAGACTGAACACATTGAGTTCATATAATTAGTTACCTAATTCATGGGGTAGCTCATGACAAAATACTGCTATAGATGTACTAATTCCTCCTGTCAGTCCAGCACTAAAAGCTGCTCCTAGGGGAAAAAAAAAGGTTCAAATGATATTTTACTGTTTTCAAGTCAGAAAATTTAATCAACAGACTTTCCAGAGATGACACCCTTCTGTTAGAATGCATGCTCTCATATTTTTTCATTATGTCTGTCCCCTGTCTGTATATAAACTGAAAATACTGGAAGTATCCTGGATGTGCGTTACCACTGCATACTTTATTACTCTTGTTTATCTGAAAGACAAATCCTGGGAGAGGAGAACACAACTGAGCAGAACAGAGACATAAAGGCAACAAGCTAATAAACAGCACCACTTCTACATTTTTAGGAACTCTTAAGTACATCAGGACAGTTAAGAATGCACATGAGCAACAGTCTAGCTCTCTCCTTTCCAGGTTGGAAATCCAAACTAATATTTAACCCATAACCTCTCTATTTCCTTTATGCTTATTTGTAGAGTGCATATCAGCAACATTAATAAGCCAGATCTGGAAAATAATAATGAGAAAAACATTGGCATGAACCTCTTTCAGTAACTTTTGTGTAAGCTAATTTGATTCAATCCACTTTAAGTTCATACCTTAAATAATTCTGAGATGAGAAAACTGCTGTTAGATTTCTGTACTGTAGCAGAGAAAGGTGAAAGAAGAGCCTGTGGTGAGCAGTCAAAACAGGCAAAATAAAGTAGAAGGAGAAGACACAATCTGAAGACAGAGGAAATTTAACTTTCCTCTGGATTCCTCATAACTTGGTATATTAAAGAGATGAACGTGCTTTTCTAAAATCGACATTTTACCAAGGAATCAGCTGTTTGGGCTTGACACAGGAATATTTAGAAACGGAGTTTCAATACAGTGAAGTTCTCAACAGATGGCGCAGTGATCCTTTTTGGCCTTAGAAGCCACTGTCTAAATGCCTTACCTGTTTAACGTGAAAATGAAGCAAAAAGTTAATTTTTATGGAGTTTAGTTTCTTTAGAAATTGTTTGGAGAAAGTGGAGAAACTGTAGTAGATTCCATTGTTAACTCCAGACCCTAATAAGTAGCTTCTCCCCCATCCTTCAAAATGGGTACGTTCCTTCTGCTAGTAGTTCAGAACCCTGTGTACTCTTAGTAGCTACCTTCGTAAAAAATTAAAAGTACGCACTTCAGTACTCTCACCACCATTTTGACTTGTATGACATATATTCAAATTAATGTGTTTTACAGTTCAAATCACATTTAGAGGTTTATGTGAATCAAAGTTGATTTATTAAATCTAATAAAATCTGTTTGGTACTTCAATTTCTTCTACATTTGGCTAGAAATAAATCTATACTGACCATAAGCCAAAATAATACTTTGCTCAAACAAATTAAGTTATCCTTAGTAGTACTTTTTTAAAATTATTATTATTTCAGTAACCTGACTCATAGTACATTTATTATTTACAAGTACTGTATAATTCTATGTATTAATAATAGTAGAAATAGTATTATTATTATACATAAATATAATTATAAATAAGACCGAAAGGAACTTATTTATTATTCAAAGGCAAATACTAAGACCCAAACAACAAATGTGCATTACATGTGCTCCACACTTAATACGGAGATTTGTCTGCACCTATCTTTATTTGGCAGAGATTGCTACTGTCGCTACTATTGATATAGTAATCTTGGTGGAAATAGTCACAGAATATTAACAAAGGGAAGACTATTACAATTGATGGCCTTTTAATTTCTGCTCTGAAGGAGATCAGACAATGCCAGTAACCACAGGAGCTAACTGGAAGCCTTACCTGTGATCACTGATAAGTAAAATATTACCAAAGTTACAAAAGGTAAGAAGAAACTGTTGAGAAATACTCAGTGCTTTTGCTTACCGATTGCTAAGCCATCACTAAAGTTGTGAATGCCATCTCCCATAATTACCATCCAAGCAATATTAGCTATCCCAGTATCTTTCAGGTCTTTTCCAGAATGACAGTGGCCATGGGAATGATGGGAATGTTTGTGATGCCAGTGGTGACTGTGTTTTCTAGCTATCATTTTATCTTCGCCATGGCCGTCATACTCCGAATCATGAAGATCATGCTCTTGAGCTGCATGTGAGACATCATTGTGAGGATGGTGCATATTATTGTCCTCTTCTACGGACAAGAAGTTTTTGGGAGGGGACTCCAGCTGGCCATCTAAATCAGTTAGTTCAGTTTCATTGAGTCGATCTTCAGATAAAACTGAGTCGTCTGCTCCTACATTGAAGCCAGTTGGGAGAGACACTGCATTAGTTTTTATTTAAAATACCACCAGCAACTACTGCATCACCGAGTTAAGAATTTAACTGCTTTGCAAAAGCAAAATAAGTATTTTAACGCATCCCAATCTAGTAACTTTGTTGTCAACATTCAGCCAAAAAACCATATTTCTCACTGCCCCATTTTTTTTGCAAATTTGCATGTACAGCATATAGAAGTCTCCACTACAAGGCAACAGCACTGTATCCATAGCACACAAAGTCAGTTTTAGCCCAACCTAGGCTCGTGTCTGTAATTTTGCTACTGACGAAGTTTATGGTTCAACATTGGAAAAGGAAAGTTGCCAGAACGATAATAATGTCTTATATGCTGTAGATGGAACCTGAATGGCTCAGGAAACCTTAACTGGCCACCCTCTATGCATGCCCACACAGGTCACAACTTGGCCTTCACTGAAGCGTACCAGGATCTGCCACTGATACAACAGATCTTTAAATAGTTTCTGTATCGCATGCATTTTTGTGTCAGACACTTGTGTCATACAGTGAGCTCCTTCAACGTAGCTCATTACCCTGCTAGCAATCAAAGCCATTTCTACAAAGAAATACAAAGTGAAAACAATGCAGAAGGCATACATGCATGAATTTTAAGTCTACTAATATTTCTGAAGTATTAATAAATAAATGAAACTGGCAATCTATGCTCCAGGAAGCAAAACCAGTTGTGGAAAAAAAGCAGTTCTGGACAATGAAGTTACTAACTCACAATAATTCAACAAAAATATTTCGGAGTCAAAAATAAGCAAACAGTAAGCAGAATTAAAAAAACAGGCACAGAGTACCTAAGCAGCAGACAATGAGTTCTAGATAAACAGGCTCTTAAACATCATTTGGAGGCTGTTTAAAAAGAAACGGAGTGGCCATTCAGGTCAGTGATAGTGGCACTGCAGTTCAAAATTCAAATTCAGCATAAGCTTCCAGTGCCTGTAGCATGAATGATTTACTGATCAGAAGAGTGCACGCTCAGAGGAACAGTGTTACAAAACCAGTGCGTACTCCATGTTATCACAAGCAAAGTTCCTCTGATCGCCCATTAAAAGAAAACGAAGAAATTTCAAATATATGTACCACCATCCTCACAACTGAAAGTCTTTCTATGTTACATTAGTGTACATGTACATGTTTCTATGTTACATGTCGTGTACAATGTGACATGAGCATGTCCAGAGAAAGGCAACGAGGCTGGTGAAGGGTCTGGAGAACAAGCCTTATGAGGAGCGGCTGAGGGAGCTGGGGTTGTTTAGCCTGGAGAAAAGGAGGCTGAGGGGAGACCTCATCGCTCTCTACAACTACCTGAAAGGAGGTTGTAGCGAGGTGGGTGTCGGTCTCTTCTCCCAAGTAACTGGCGAAAGGACGAGAGGAAATGGCCTCAAGTTGCGCCAGGGGAGGTTTAGATTGGATGTGAGGAAAAATTTCTTTACTGAAAGAGTAGTTAAACATTGGAACAGGCTGCCCAGGGAAGTGGTTGAGTCACCATCCCTGGAAGTATTTAAAAGACGTGTAGATGAGGTGCTTAGGGACATGGTTTAGTGGGCATGGTGGTGTTGGGTTGACGGTTGGACTCAATGATCTTGGAGGTCTCTTCCACCCTTAATGATTCTATGATTCTATGTCAGTGTCCCAAATCCCATTTTAAGTTGTTTGAGTGGAGAAGGCTACAGTCCTAACTCTCCCTTCTACAAACCATTTAAATTAACAAAATTGCCTTTGTCTAAATATAGGCTATGGATTCTTCATCAACAAATGAATTCAGCAGCCATGCAGCCAACGAAAAGGGAAGTTTATAAAGCAAAGCCCTTCCCTCACCCCTTCAAGAAGGGTGCTATGGCATTCCTTCTGGGCACATACTGCATGAGCATTCAGACTGTCATGAAGGAACAGTACGTGAAAGTTGTTTTGGATACCTGAGGAACATTCAGGATAGTTGGTGGTATTTATGGAAAGAAATTAATTTTGTTTAGCCTTTTCAGCCAAACTATAATGGGTCAGAGGCTGGAATCTTCAAAGCGCAACAGATATCCCCTTTCAGGTTGTGTGTGTTCATTTTCGATCTAATTCTTGCCAGGGCTGAGCTAGTCAGGCACAACTTCACCAAAAAAACACCCCCAAACCAAACAAATAAAAAAACCCCCAAAGAACCACAGCCACCCAAAACCTGACTGCTTCAGAAGTCTGAGAACCATTTGTATGGCACATTAGGAAGTGTTCAGAGTGCTCTCAGATCTAAGAAAATAAAAAAAGGTTTAATAGGGAAAGCTTATTAAGTCTTATTAACCATGATTTGCATAATAGCAGCAAAACTGTACAAGAGGTTACATGCTACATGCCATAGGTTACATGCCAATACTTTGAATCTCGTAATCAGAGAAAATTGTGAAAATAAATGCCTACCTGCAAGGGGTTTGAGCTGAAGCCAGTCAGCATCTGGTCTATTATTTAATTTGTGATCAGAAAGTTTCCTTCCAACTGGTGATTCTTCAGTCTGTTTTTTCTTGCACCATTTCTGCTTACTCTGCAACAGGAAACAGGTAACATCTGGTTTGTAAAAGGACATTGATGGAAATAAAAGAAACTGAAATGTTGTCAAAAAATCTCTTCAAAATAGACTAAGTTACTCTCTCTTAATATGCCTAATGGAAGTATGTGACTACAGAATATTAATCTTTGTAAGGCTCAGCAACGATATCTATCCCAGGGGAAATTCTTAGCTACCTACCACAGAATCTCACTCACTCACAAACACACACACAGACAAAACTTCACTTCAGTAACAGAGCACATTATGACAAGGATTGCTCTAACAGCCCAGAAACGCATGTATGTAGAGTTATTATATTGGCTTATTGTGTTCAAGAAAGCAAGCATGCAGCAAGAACAGCTCCTCTGTTTTGTTCAACTTTTAAGTTTTATACTCTAACTTCCTTGTATGTTCCTTTAGAGAAAAGCTTGCTGCTCTCCTGTCTGCAGCCCATACAACAGAGATCATAGATTGGCCAAAGCAGCCTAGGGGATTTAATTATTTAATTAATCTCAAAGAAGAGATGCTCAATGTGACAGCTTTTCTCTCTTTATCGGAAGATCTGGGTGATCGCAAGATTGGGAGATATCGGAAGATTGGGAGACCTCATCGCTCTCTACAACTACCTGAAAGGAGGTTGTAGCGAGGTGGGTGTCGGTCTCTTCTCCCAAGTAACTGGCGAAAGGACGAGAGGAAATGGCCTCAAGTTGCGCCAGGGGAGGTTTAGATTGGACGTGAGGAAAAATTTCTTTACTGAAAGAGTAGTTAAACATTGGAACAGGCTGCCCAGGGAAGTGGTTGAGTCACCATCCCTGGAAGTATTTAAAAGACGGGTAGATGAGGCGCTTAGGGACATGGTTTAGTGGGCATGGTGGTGTTGGGTTGACGGTTGGACTCGATGATCTTAGAGGTCTCTTCCAACCTTAATGATTCTATGATTCTATGATCTAAGAAATGCCTCCTCCAACACGGAAAAATCTTGTGCTGCCTGTCCAGCTGAGGCAGCAAGTCTGACATGAAACAGAGAACTTTTTATTTTTCCACGCTCATTTTGGGAGAAGCAATTAATAGTTTCACCAAAATCATTTTCTCCTCGAAGTTGAATGATGGAGACAAAAGTAGAAAGTGTATTTATAATGACTGTTGAAAGAATATGGCTCTTTGGTGGCTTGAATTTCTACCCACTGTCACACTCTCCCTGAGTTATTCGCTCTCCTTTCATACCACCATCATGAATACAGCACGCTCCCAGCCCTAAAAATCCAATCATTTTCAGGGAAACAAGTTAAAATTTGATTGGCAATTTCTAGAAAGCAGGAGGTCTGCAAATTTTGGCATTTTCTCATGTGGAAAACTGAATACCTCTGTTAGACTAGCATCGTTAGCTAATAGTATACAGTTAAATTTCTTGTAAATTGACTGACAATTGTCTGGCTCTATTTCCAATTCTTTCTTACATACTGCCTTTCATATTTTTGCAAAAAGATCATGGTGCTTTAGAGAAAGAGCTGTAATCTCTTCTACCTAGATCTACCTCCAAATATAGCTGGCCAAAAAGCTGCAACCTCCCCCATCAAATTTCTGCTTTGTCTTCCCAAACTACCTTGTTAAGAAAAGCAACCTCTTTTAGAAAAGGGTTTCCTCACATAAAATCAAACAGAATGCAGATTAGCAGCACTTCTTCGTGTTCACAGAATAATGCATCATCACACAGACAATTCCTCAACACTCGGAAGATAAGTTCAGGTAACATTTTAAGATAGCATGCAATTTTAGTGCGTACCTTTTGTTTATTGTAATGCTTGTACATTCTTATACAATGTTCAATGATGAACAAAACATAAATGCCTCCAAGTGCCACAAGACCTTTCAGCACTGGATCATTTTCTTCTAGAAAGCCTTCAGTCCGTACTCCATGTCCGTGGGCATGCCGATGAGACCGCTTGTGTTCATGAACATGACCCTGGCCATGGTGGTGACTGTGGTTGTGGCCTCCATGTGACTATTAGGAGAGAAAACAGTAACACAGCATGACCTGGTGTAATCAGGAGACTGAAACGGCTCCGAGCTCAGATGACAAAATATGTAACCTTGCCAGAAAAGCAGCATAAAAAGACTTTAAAAGTTGGGTTGTGCGTTGTTTGGTTGTTTTTTTGTTTGGTTGTTTTTTTTTAATACAAACACATTTTACCGTTGACATTTTTCATTAGACTATTCATTACCCTAATCAATACAAAAATATCTCTCTGGGAAATTTTTAGGGGAGAGGGGGATATAATCTAGCTTCACCTTTTTTCTGTCACAATGCTAAAGATAATGAGACTAACACTCAGAAACGTCAAAAGGAATTGCCATTCCTACACTCCCATTAGCGACCAAACCTCATGATTTTTTTTTAACTATGACAGTCAATTACAGCCTTAATTCTGATCTGAAATATAAACTTGCAAAAAAAATACATGACCAAAAATTTGTGTTAAAATTTACACAAAGAAAACATGTAAACATTACTCTTTTTGCTAAAAGAATTACAGTAACAAAATTTTAGAAAACATTTCCCCTTCTAAGAATTACAGTATACCGTCACAAATTAAAAACTGCTTACCTTCCCAGGAGCTCGGACTATTTCTTGATTCAGTAAGTTAGAGGTTACTTTCTCCCCAAAAACTAGTAACCAGGAAGGTTAATCCCCCGAAATACTTTTAGGTGGTACTGATACACAAGTATCGGCAGACAAGAGACAGTAATACTGCTAAATTTAAAATACTCTTGTTGGTCTCATTAGGTATTTTAAAATACTGTGACAGAAGTTAAACTATGAATACACAACTACTTTTTTCTCCCCCCTTTCAAGAAACACACATTTCCTTTCTTTTTGTTAACAGAAAGTCTCAAACATTGTTTCAGGATGTCCCTCATAGTCAAGTCAATCTACCTCTGCATCAGTGAACATTTATTTGTTGATACTTGTCAAGCAATTCTTTGAAAATTCTATGTACAGTTACAATTAAGAATAAAAAGTAAGGAAACAATGCTTACATGTGGCAACAGATGGAGTAGTGCATCTCCACTCATTGTTCCTACAGCCAGAGCTACCAAGAAAGTTAGAAGAAATTTGAAGCACCATTGGTTAATGATGGGAATCAAGATCACACCTAGCAAGGAAAGCAGGCTAATGACGGTGATAGAGATGATACCACAAAACCAAGCTGTGGGAAGAAATGAATACAGAAAGGTTATCAGAACAATACTTGTAAAACTTTTAAGACTGATTAATGACTTTCAACTATCTCTTAAGAAGGTGACTCTCCTTTAACCTAAATTGTGTGACTGTTCATTCAAAAGGTGCTGAAAAATATGAAGGCAGTACTGAATTCCACAGCAAAAAATACACAGGCTTATTGACAGTACAGTACAATATAGTGAAAGACATCAGAAGAAACAGCTAAAAAGAGCCCAGCGTTCTTCCCGATTGTAAGTTCCAGGCTTAGCTCTGTAGGCCTTAATGAAACACAAAAAGCAAAAGATTTCCTGTTGGAACAAAAACATCTCCGCTACTTAACTTACTAGGGCTCTACGAGCACTAATTCATATTTAACATTTGTTTTTAACACGATTCTGATGCAAAATTTAACTGGAATCAATCTCTCTCCTCCTTTGTTAGGAGTAACATGTTCCGTTAGGTGCCATGCTCTTCACCTGGTGCTTTGAAACATACATTTTTATTTATGAGAAATAAGTAAGACTCAACCTTTGACAGAGGAACTTTAAAGTCAAATGCTGTAATAAGAACTTGAAGAGCTGAAAGCAACTTGTTACCAACAAAAAGCAGTATATATTGTTTTCTGAGAACCTCTGTTGCTGTCATTAGAAGAAAAGGTGATAATGGGATATGGTACACTCAACATAATCCTGTTAATTAGGGAAAATGTGCAAATTTCTTATGACATGGGAAAAGAGGAATTACACAAGAAACAGATCCTATAAGGAAAGAAGCATGGCTCTTGCAGTCAGCATCTCACCCTAATAAAATATTTTTTCTTCTACTTTGTTAAGTAATCAGTCAGGCTAAGAATTAAAAACTGTTGGGTTTTTTTTCCTCTCTCTCTGCTTCTCTATCACTTCTCTTATTTCTTCCCGTCACAGAAACTTCAAAGAACAGTAAGTAAAAACTGTTTAATTCCAACAATACAGTTCAAAAGGTTCACAGTCCCAAAGACAGGAATAGTTGGTGCTCCTATTTTACAAACATTAACTGTTTGGGCTGAGATCTTTCATGAACATCATTTCCTCAATCTGAACTTCTATTTATTTATTTTAAGTTTTAGCCTAAATGCTTCAGGTTTTTCCAGGTTTTTTCCTAGCTTCATTCTTAATCAAAAATGTCTACACAGTTTGCCAACTTTCATGAAAGTTAACAACTCCCGATTTAAAATCATTAGCATCTCCATACTTTGGTGCATGATCTGACTTTCCTTACATCTGTGAAGGTCCACTCATTTTTTATCAAGTGGGGGAAACCATCCTGGGAAATGGGGGGGATGGGGGGAGAAGAAAAGAGAGGAGGAATGAATATGTTGTAGCTGCTCAATGGATTTTATCACTTAGCAGTGATATGTCCCAAGAATTCTACCTGTACCAAAAATGCTACAGGTCAGATTTGACAAGACTTTGCCGCTAGAACTGTGGCTAATGCAGGCCTGGTCTGGTTCAACACCAAAACTTACAACATCTGCTGTTTTACACGTTATTTTGGGATAGTCATTCTTACGACGTCTGTAGCTGTCATTCCACAACAGTGCAGAAAAGGAAGCAATCCAATTCCAAGGCAACGGGTACCAGAGCACACCCACCAGGAGAAACTGATTGGAAAAAGCTTTAGGAAGTATGCAGCGTACACCAAAATGCACATTGATACCGAGAGGAAAACAGAGAGTTGGTGAAAAGGCAAAGACTGCCATCAGATGAGGAACTAAAAAACAGAAATTGGAAAATGGAAATACAAAAATAGGTCTAGAGTGGAAGCAGGACCCTGCCGACCAAAATACTGCCACTACACAGCCTTGATTCATCCTCAGAGCACTTCAATCATGTACTCAGGATTAACAGGCTCTGCTGAAAGAAACAGCATACATGGACTTGTAATTCGACACGAATCACGCGTGCGTGCACAAGTAGCCCAAATAAAAATTACACAGCCGTTTGGCAGGACATTGGATCTCCAATCTGGACACAGACATTATGACGTTAAGTACCAGGTTAAATGACCAACAGCCTTACATGGGGAAAAATGGAAAGGAGATTATGCAAACTGGTTTAAGTTTCACATATCATAGCACAGATTTGGCAAACGCATCTCTGAAGGGCTTACATACTCTTATGAATGATACAGTATCTAAACATGGGACCATGATTACGGTGAGGCACATGAGAATTAGAATACGGAATCTGTGCATCTCTCAGATCTTGGTCATCAGCTTCTGTTTCTGTTTAAACCCTTAAAAAATGGTACGGAACCAAAATTATCAGCAAAATGTTGCTGTCAAGTCAAAGATAAAAAATACATACAAAAGCTGTGCATGACCCCACAGTTACATATATGTACAAACACTCCTCATATAAAAAGGACTACTAAGGAAGACTTATGACAAAATTCCGACACAAAATTTCATTGAAGGATTTCATTCAACTGTAGTGTTCAAAACACTAAAATATTATGGAAGTGGAACTAATACGCAATGTTATGAACACTGTAAGAGCTCTTAAGTTATAAAAGATCTCGGTGTATAACACTCCTAGGAATACTGTATACAGCTTGGTCAATGAGGTGAAGTTGTTATGCACTGGCTTATAAAATATTTCTGTGGAGAAGAACAAGAGGGAGGTGACTGAACGATTTCTTCAGTAAGGGACCTCTGTTCAAACAGTGGGTAGCAAACAAAAGACAGCTGCTCGCACCGGATTTGGACAGCTATCTGTAAATTAAAACAGACTAAAAGGGTAGTAAGGTAGACTCCTTGGAAGGCTGAGAATAGTTAGCTATCTGCAAGCTTGAACAAGAAAGCAAGCTAACAGAAAGACTCCACTGAAGCAAAGCCTTCCTGGGTTCAGGAAATGTAAGCTCCAGGGAACACTGGCATCTGCACAGGCAGATTTACAAGATATATCTGATCTGAAATACTTTTAATCAACAGCTCTAACTGATCTCCATCTTTAAAAAAATCGCTCACTGTTTACCTGTATCACTTCTATTAGCTTCATTCATAACAGGGTGCACCTTTCCTTTTAAGTGAAGTTGTTTAGGAGCCCTCAATGATACCAATGCCACCTCTTCCAATAGGTACACTGTGAAAGCTCAGTTGTATGTATAAGCCCTTGCAAATTCTCGATTAGAAGATGTTACAGAACTATCTGTAAATTACAGGAAGAAAACCCAACGTGGCTTCATACGTTTTTGGTCATCAGTTAATTAAATTACTTTGCTTTAGAAAATGGCATTATCATAACTAATGGAAACCTTATAGGTCAGTATCAATGAACAGAAGCAGCACTGGTCTATTAAGTTTTTTTGAAAGCTTTAATTAAAACGAAAGAAAACCACAGAAAGCTAGTGTTTAAAAATGTCTGCATCCTCCTAACTTTAGCAAATATTTCTATCTAAAAGTGTTTACATTAGCTCGGGTAAGCACACATTTTCATTTTAGTAGAATCCTACAACTTGCAGGTTAAGTTACTCTATGACTGACATTTGTCCTACACCTCCCACAATCCCCATATACCAGTTAAGATTTTTTATCTTGTGATTCACTTCCTTACTTAAGAAGGGAAAATGATTACTACATCAACTGAAGTCTCACTGTAGTTAAGACAAGAATATACAGGAAATTGTTATGAAGAATGATTTATCATTATCTAATCAAGTTGACCTGTTTTAGAGGCTACTGTTTGTTTTCAGAGTCAAATCAGTAAGTTAAAACCCAATTTTTTTACAGTTAACTGGCAAATGTGTTATTTATACTCAAGATACCAGATGCCGTAAAACATGTTAAATGTTCACGATAAGCTTCACTAATTTTGCAAATTAAGTCTCTTAAAATCTTAAAGGTCTTCAAGCTGAGTTATTCATCAACTCCCTTACTCATTACAGAGAAAGAAAATGCATTCTTTTAAAAAGAAGCACTCATCTGTAGAAACTTTCTAATTAAACTGGTTCAAAGCACGTGAAACATGACAGTTTTGTACGTGGTTTCAACATTTTAATTGGCAGAAAATGCTTACAGCTACTGCACAAATCCTCCTGGTAATAAGGCAGGGGTCAACTCTTACTACAGTGAGACTACCCCACAATTTGCTGCCATATAAAACACACAGTATATTTGGTTTACAGCAATCTTTGAAGAGTTAACAAGATAGTAGCTGTGTCACTATAGGAGATTTATGTATAACAAGTTAATTATTTTAATGACTCCAGCATTGTTAAGATTACCAGCAGTGCATTCCTACCAACAGTTATTAATATATATGAGAATGTAGTTACTTCAGGCTTTATTTCTAACGATGCTAATAAGCACCAACCTGCTAATCAATATTCACAATTACCAATATTTTTATTTTCAAGACATGGACATCGTACCCAAGATTTTTTAGACTTTTAATATTCCTGAATGAATATATCCAAGTCAAATTTGTTAAGAAAATTTGTGCCAAAGTAACACTGCAACTTTCCGACTTTGAGATAAATATATGGACCACCTCAGTCACACTAAGAGAAAAAGAAATAACATTTTAAATGATGGAAATAATCCAAACTGTGGGTGGACTTGCTCATCCCTAGAGGTCCTTCTATCTCCAAAGATTCTGTACCTTGCCTATATTCCTACTACAAGAAGAGTTCAACGTCTAAAGATATGTGGGAAGAATCCAGGCCAAAAAGCCTGGGCCATAGGCCTAATGATAGGACGTTAGGCCTCAATGATAGAAGACAAAAAAAGAAATAAAAATAAGCAAACATAAAATAAAACATGACAATAATGAAAAAGGATAAAAAGGTACAAGAAAGAAAGAAAGGTATGCCTCCCTGAGCCACTGTTACTTAGGAGAAGCTATTACACCACCAAACAGGACGCTATGTCTCCTGACTTAAAGGAGCATGCTGTTTCAAATTTCTTCTAGTAAATATGTTAAATTTCAAACACTCCTTTACTCTACAGTCAATGCTAAGTTGTATAACATTTCAAACTCCGGAGTTAATATTTACAATGCAAAATAATTTTGAAGGCTTTAGATGTTACACACCTACCTGATGCACCTGTTTTATCTTTATTCTCAATTGATGCATTTTTACTTTTCATAAAATCTTCAAGCTCATCATAATGTACAATACAAAGCCTTCTCTCAATCTGGTATAGCAAAGCAGGACACATGTATATAAACAATTCAGGAGATATTGGAGAGCTGGGTTCCAGACCGTAGTACCGTAGCAGCTGGGTAACATTTAAGCACTGCAAGCAAATTACACAAACAAATTAAATATGAAAGCAACTATTTCATTAAAAAAACTACAATTATGGAAAATTTAGCATATGATTTGAGAACACAAACAGAAAGTAGAGACTCTGGCCACAACATTCCACCAGTACTAAAACACGTCTAAGCTGACCTAAGTGGTTTATGAGGGGAAAGAAACAGTAAAAATATCTGCACTACAAACTCAGTCTCCAAACACCTGTATAATTTTTGATAAATGTCAATGAAAATGAGTTTCCATATTCTTTACCATTACACAGTACAAGCAGTGAAGAAAGAGCAACAGGAAAGGAGTGGAAGAACATAAATCCAAAACAGGTTTTCTAACACTGCTCTTTACCACCAACCTTCTGTTTGGAGTTTCACTTTTTAATTCAGTTTAAAACTTCAAACTCTGCACTCACTCCAACCTTTCCTACCCTGACTTCTAGTTTAAAACCATGCTGTCAAAACGTCCTGCTTCTTTAGTTAACTGTAGGGGGGAAGGGAAAGTATATTTATGGTCCTGGCAGAAATAACGGATGCTGAAGGGAGAAATGGAAGAGCTTACACTGAGCGCGGTGCTACGGAAGCTACATAGACATTGCTTCACAATCTCTCAGGACAAAGAAATTAGAAGCATGTTGAAAAGATGCAGCTGTTTCTTTTAGGAAAGAGTCTCAGTGCAGTTTCCAAAAACGTTAACGATCTTAGATTTTGAAAGAAGTCCAAAAAATGGGTGTGTGTGTGAAGTATTCATGAATATCGGAAAGGGAAAAAACCCCACCTGTAAGCAAGGTATCTCAGAAAGCTTTAAGTATGTCTTTATACAGATATATAGGCAAGAGGATAGATCTCTCAGAGATCTATCCCCTGCGATGGGCAGACAGAAATGAAAACCCATAAAGTAAACTCAAAGCTGTGGCAATGATCTTTAGCGTTTTCACTCTGCTACCTATATTATGCAATGGTCGCAAACGTGCTTCTGTGTTATTTGTGGGTACACACCTTCAATTATTATGTAACAACAGTGAAAGTGAACTTACCGGTTCTCCATTTCATACTCACCTCTTCACGATCACGTTCATCTTCATAATGATCCTTATGACTACGTGTTGAAAAAATAGCATGCTTTCTTACGCTAATCTGCTTATGAGGTGCCTCTCGCTTGCTGGTATGGTGGTGTCCATCCTCATTACCTAAACTGGAATCTTGATGTCCAGGACTAGTAGAACGATCACTACTGTGTTCATGATGGTGTACATGCAAGTGAGATGCATCATGTATGTGATCATGTTTATGAACACGATTGTGCTCATACTGATCACCTGGATCACGATCTGGGGCATAATCCCGTGTAGCATCTCCTGAAGTCTCACTGATCTTCTTTTGCTTCTTCTTCTGTTTCCGCTGTTTTCTTTCTGGCTGATCCTGAGTTGTGTTTGTCTCTGTTGAAGGTTCATGGTTCTGTTCTCCATGTTCACTGTGACTAACTGAATCATTACGAGAATGATGTGTACCATTATGGTCATGATGATGTAGACGAGGGTGGTGATGATGGTGATGGCGACTCTGATCATGAACGTGTTTGCCATCATCTTTTACTGATGGCACTACCGTGTCTCTCTCAGGGTCACATTTATGATTTCTCTTTGCAGCCATACCAATCATGGTTTGGTTTTCTGAATCTGAGTGGCTATGAGGATGGTTATGAGAGTGAGAATGCTTTCCTTCCTGTACTTCTAAAGCATATAAGTGAGAAACATGATCATGGCCCATATCATCGTGATTTATCATCACTACTTTTACCTCTCCTAAACCAAGGCTTATTAACAGTTTTTCCAGGCCAAAAAAAGATAATCTTCCATTTTCACCGTAACGATCAAAAATCTTTTCAATGTAGTATTTTTGTTCATTTTCAGCTTCCAACGTTGAAAATTTACTCGGCATAGATTCTGTTCCTGCATTCTGGAAGTAGGATGCATTTGAGATCTGATAGTCATTATGGTAGTGTACACGTTCCTTTTCAGGATCATGGTCATGTCCATCTTCATGGCAATGATTGCACTGATGAAAGATAAATGTCAGCAAACAAATGATGCAAAATTTTGTGTGCATGTGTACCTTCATCTCTGTTTCCTACAAGAAACACAAGGGGAAGCACTTAGGTGTAAAAGCAACCTCAACATAAGTACTACACGAGTATCAGTCTGGTACTTATTTGTACCAATTGAATGACTCACAAGTCTTTTTTAGACACTGGCATTAACAGAGTAACAATTGCAGTATTTTTACTGCAGAAATTGTATTAATGTACTTCTCTTATCCAACAGTAAGACAGGTTCTGTGTATTTTAGAGATGCAGTCTTACATACCATACTTACAGGAGGCAGTTACAAGAAAGAGATCAGCATTTAGTGTCAGTCACAACAGAACATTTTTTGTGTATATTTTCAGAGGCATCTATGCTTATGATAACCTCTAACATTGAAAAATCTTGTTAAAACACAAGTTACAATAGAATAAAAATTATTTTAAAACAATAATACTGTATTTTCTTATTCATGGGGATGACAGGCAGGTAATACAGTTGAACACTCACACATCATTTGTTCTCTTATGTGCTGCTAAAGTACCTCCACTAAACACACACACTGCACAATTCCCTATTTTGATTGGTAATTAGTGATTTAAAAATAAGTTGTCATTAACCAACTTCAATATATTGCTTAAATGTTCATATTTTTAATACTTTTTACTTACATGAGTTTACTGATTTCAAAGATCTATGTGGATGTTAATTTAAAAATAAGGTTATATGGAAAATGTCAGTTTATGCAACTCAAAAAATACTGTTAATGCTGACACACTAGCTCAAAGTAGTTAGTACTGATTTTTAGAAATTATATCATTTAGACAATGTGGTTTTCAATTTAGTATTAAATGTAAGAAACTTACTATTCAACATCAGGTAATGAAGAAGACACTGCAGAAGCCTATCTTGTGTTCAGAGTTGAAACCAATTCACTATTTTACAAAATATGACAGCTTTATTTTGTTTACATCTGCTAGCAAAAGCGTATATAAAACTGGAATAATTCTTATAAACTTTTAAGAAAAAAATAATCCAAGTTTATGTAAAAATGTTAATATCAAACTAGAAAGCTAAAGATAAGCCAAGAACTGTACTTTATGACTTCTATTTTCTAGAGACTTATTTTGGGTAGAGAATAACCTTTAAAACACGTTGGTTTTTTTTTTTTTTAAATCATTTAAACACTGCCAGGGTTTTCTAGCAACACTTATTTTTTTTCTGTTTGGTACCAAGCCAAATAAAAAGTGTAACATTTACTACAGTTCTGCTAGATACATGTAGTAGATAGATAATCAAGTCTTCCTATCAGCAAAGGAGCAGACAAGAAGAAGAAAGGAGCATGGAGCTTCCCAATCAATCTGAACAGTTGAACGACTATTTTGAACAGTTTAACAGAGTTGATTAAAATAGAAAAAGGAACCAAGTACAGAAGTAGGGCTTTTACACATAACTAGTTAAATTTAGAATATGACCGAGAAGGAAATGAGGGCTGAGGGAAAGGATAAGGACAGAGCTCCATCCACCCTGCTTTCTGCATGCTCAGATGCTACCGAAACACTGCAGCAAATGCAAGGATGTAAAGTAATAGGAGAACAGGTCAAGTATGCTTTCATGTCTTTTTACACTGAAAGCAGTTTTAGCTCCTTACGCGCACCTTGACTAGAGCTGCGACTGACCCTACGTTCACAAAGATGCAAGTGACGTGGTCAACGCATCCTAAAACGCTACTGACTTTCAGACAAGAAATGGTAAATTTAATTGTCCTTCTCAGGCCCACCCCAGCTGCTAACTAAAATGTGCTTCCTGAAATCAGTCAAGAAAGTGCTTTGCAGCAAACCACAAACATTTAAAGTCCATTTTAATTTCCTAAAATATTAGCTTGATGTTTTGCACTTAAGCACTTGCAACCACATTATTGCACCAAAAAAAAAAAAAATCTCTTGGAAGCTCCTATAATTGCAACAGGTTGACAGAGAAAAGGAATTGGAGGAAAAAAGGAAAGGGCTACCTTTTTATTACTTTATATATCAAATAAATGAGTTAACAGAGAAGACTGGGGAAAAAGTTTTTCCTGTTAACCTGTAGAAATACAAAAAATGAAAATTCACTTTTCACTGGAGCTTCAAACGCTTGCAAGATTAAAAAAAAGCAGAACTCTTTTGTGCAATACTGACCCAGTTACAGATGTAAGGTCAGAAGAGTATCTGTCAAATGGAGGCATCTCCATCAAAATTGATTCCAGGGACATCAGATAGGTCAATGGGTAATCATTGTATACTACTGTTTTATTTTTATAAACAACTGTTCAATCATCAGTCTGGAATGACCGCAGTTTGTCTCCAGTTCAATCACCTACATTCCAGTTACTGATTTAAGGGCTGTGACAAACCTTTTCAAGTAATTTAGTATGATGAGTTCATCCCCAAAATTTACTGAGATATTATTTTCATATAGCCTTTTTCACTCACAGACTCTATTTAAGGCATCCTTAACGTTCTTGTAAAAACACCACTGGGATTAGTACAGACACATTAAAAGCATCTCAAAGCACCTTCCAGAAGCTTCTTCCATTCTCCTTTGAGGAAACGGGTAAGTACAGAGTCATTACTGGTGGAGTAGAAAGAAACAGGTTGCAAATCTTTATCTAAGAGCCACTGGACTGAGTCAACCCTCAGATTGTATGATTGCCTGGAAACTCATTCCATAACCTTTAAATACAGAACATATGCTCCTTCTCACACGGGCTGAGAACCTGGGCTCTGAGATTTACATCATCCCAGAAAGCAGAAACATTCTGGCAGTAAGTAAAGGTACTGGATCAGGAGTATGGCTGGTGACACATCAACAGAGCTCCACACTTCTATAGGAATATGCTGATTTTCATCAACTGAGGATTTACAATGTTGAATGTTACTTAATGTGAAGAGCAGGTTCAGGATCTGGAATAAGCAGGTAAGGTACATGCAAGACAAATTAAAGCCCTGGGAGAAAGACAAACTTTATATATATGTTTGCATAGAAGACGGCAGCAGCAGGTATGTACATGCAGTATACTGTAATGCTATAGCAAGTTGTTCAGTATCTTTTTTAACTTCAGTTTCTCAGTACTGAAAACAGCATCTCAAGTTTAAGTAAAATTCAGTTACTCAAAGGATACTACTTTTGTAGGTAAGACACTTTTTCTCCCCCTTTGCCACATAATGGTAATACAACCAGAACAAGCAAAGTCAAATTATCCTAATTTAAACAAGCACGATCCAGACTAAAATATCTCTACCAGGAAATTCATGACTAAAGCATGTTCATAATCCTTTTCACAACCTCATGATCTTTTTCATGTGACTGCCTCATACAATACTACTAATACATTACTTTGAAACTTCAGTCATGCATCCCTAATTGTGGTGTTTAGCTTTGAATGGTACCTCTTCTCCACGCCCTAATGGTTAAAATAATTTGTAACCTATGATCATGATGCATTGCTGAAATACAAGAGCTGACCATTATCAAACCAATTTCAAAATCAATTAGATGTCTCACTATTTTCAATTAAAATAGAAATAAGCCTAGCACAGTATTTTTAATCTTCTATTATATCATCTTCTGTATCTTCTATTGCAATTCTTGTTACAGAACAAAGATGCTTACAAAAAACAAACGTACCCATCATAAAAAGTCTCAAAGAGAACAACTATTAAGAGTTGATTATTAATTTCTTTCTTTTTAAACAAGCTTCATTATTCTCTAGGCAATTATAAATAGCTGTCATCTTTAACCTGTCAGGCAGTATTTGTACGTGTAAAATACCAGAAAGCTGAAGTCCGAATTCTATACGTTTCAGTGGCACAGGATTTTATATATCTGATCTCAATATAAGAACATTAATACTCTCAAATCCCTTCAAAAGAATATGGAAGGGCAGCCTGAGGACAAGGCTACACCAAAGCTGAAAAAGATTCCGGCTATCACTGCTGTCAGCCTTTGCCTTATTTTATTCATTCATTTGATTCCCTGCTGCCTCCCCTCCTTCCCTCCATAGCTCAGTGATGGTCTGGCACCCAAAAGGGGGAGAGACACGATAAGTAGTTCTGCCACACCAACTGACATTTCAGAAAATGCACACAGTGCTGCCAAGTGCATCCCCTCCCCTCCTCATTCATCAATGCAAGCAGATCATTCATACTAAATGCAGTACTGATTGCATATCCATAGACAAGGTTTTTAATTCAGAGGCCTGAGGTCAAAGTAAAGAGAGTTATCTTTTCTGTACGGAAAACTCACAATATCTCTATGCTAAACCATCGTCTGCCTATGGTGTTTCATCTATTAAACTAAATGCACCTTTGACGAAAGTTGTTTTTTTTGTGTTTTTTTTTTCTAACAGCATTTTTCATTCAGTTTCCCATGGATTCCTGAAACTTCTCCACAGTGCCTACTATTTCAACTGTTCTTTTATAGCACTTTATTTTCAAGAAGACTGGAATATGAACATGATTTTGGGGGACATTTTTGTTTGTTTATCACCAACTGCTTCACTGAAACTAGAAAACTAGTTCAATAGTTAGGCTTTACTTAAAACAAGAAACTTTGATTCAAATAATGTAGTCATACAAAATTCAAACTCAATTGAAAGTCACATCTATCATTTTAGTGTTTGCAACCCACATACTACAGCATTTTTTTCTCAGTGTACAACGCTGACTAGAATATTTTAAGTGCCCAAATTTCTTCCCCCATCCTTTTTCCTGTCTGCTCCCAACAATTTTAATAACCTGAAATATTTGTAACATAAATGCACTGGATTTCTCCCCTTCCCAAGTTACTTTAGTTTCTCTCCCTTTTTGTTCATCTTTCTTTCCTTGCTTTCTCTGAAGAATGTTCTGCCCTTTTTTTTCTATCTGCAGAAGAGATCTTTGAAAAATATCTTTGACTCCTCTAAGTCATTACTCAGCTTGAATGCCACAATGACTAAAGTGCCTTAGCAAGACTTCATGGGCAACCAGAAGTTTCACACCAAACAAAAATACCAAACACACGCTTCAGC